ATTACAAATCAAATATAGAAATAAAAATAAAAATTATATATATATATATATACACACACACAGATACACACACATATGTATGTGTATGCATACACAATAAAACAAAAACAAAAAAAAATAAACAAAAGGACCTCAACTTACGCAGTGTTAAAAGCCAGAGCATAAAAATGGGTACGACGAGACTTAAATTGTGGGCGGCACGGTGGCTGAGTGGATAGCACAGGGGCCTTTCTGAGTGGAGTTTGCATGTTCTCCCCATGTCTGCGTAGGTTTCCTCCGGGTGCTACGGTTTCCCCCACCACTAAAAACATGCCCAATAGGTATGAATGTAAATGAGTGAGTGAATGGATGGTGTTGATTGGGGGCTGGTCCAGTGTGTTCAGCGACTCGCTTCCGTCATCACCGTGTGTGGAATGATTGGAACAATATCTGAACTCTGAACATTGTAAAGCGCTTTGGGTGACCTTGGTCTGTAAAATGTGCTATATAAGTAAACATTACTCACTTACTTCTTACTTAAATCACTCCATACCCTAGCTTTAAGAAGTCCTTTAAGAACCTGTCCGTCTCTAATTGAAATGCATTTTGTCATAATCAAAACATTAATGATTCTCTGTCATGCCGTACATTAAATAAACTGTATACCTTAAATCTCTCCTGTAAAGTCACTGGAATGTCACTTTGAGCATGACAGCGGCCTGACAAAGGAGTAGTGTGTGTGTTTGTGTGTGTGTCCGTGAAGACTCTTAGGTCCCTGGACGTCAATCATCCCCTCAGATGGACAGGGTTTTCCTTTTTACCCACAACTGTCTCCAGGTAGTAATTAGCCGACCTCTCTTTCACCACTCTCTCCCTGTGCTGCAATCCAGAGAGTGTGGTTAATGTTAACTAAGGTTAATGTAGTTTCATAACGACAGCCCCATTGTTCATTTATCTTGGATTGTAATTGTTATTCTGTTGCAAATACTCTTGGTAACTATGCGTCAGACTTACCGGTACATATTTATTTCAAGACACAATCATAATCGCATTTATTCAATCATTATAAGATGGATGTTTAAGCTGAAATATAGTCAGAAGTCACTGATTTTAGTTGAAAGCCCAAAATGAGCTTCTGTTTAAGTTGCCCTTGATCTCTGCTTACAGTATGTACTTACACATGCAAATATAAACATAAATATACAATCAAGATAGAATATTTGCCTCAGTTTCACCATGTGTGTACTTACCATTGTATCTACAAATCTCTATTTACAATTTATCTGCTCAAAATGGAGTGGGAAAGAAGCAAAAACTACTCTATACTGAACTAATTCCTTGTTTATGTAAAAGGTACACTATATCTGAATAGAATAAAATATGACCTATTGTTAATAAAGAGTTCATATGTAAAAAGCACAACAAAGTCATCATAATTACATTCTAACTTTTGTTGCCAGAATGTTCCTGTCAGTGACCACGCCCCGCTGCCCTGATGTCTGCACATCAGTGTAAAATTATGAGTGGAATTGATGCATTTTGGCCATTTCTGGGTCTCAGGATTTTGCACAGTGGTACTTCTACAGCCCAAAGTGAACAGCTGAGCAGAAAATTACAATATTAACAAAACATCTAGGAGCCATTGGTTCATAGGGAGTGGGATGACCAATGTCCACACATGTTGATAAATATCTATAGATTTATTAACGTATATTTATTGAATGCCTTGGATCATCGCTGTCCTTTATGCCTTCCTGCATCAGCAAAACACAACTAAAAAAATAATAATTATAAGTGAGAAACCCCGGGAGGCCCAGATTGATATTGGGATCCGCTGAATATACTCTCCAATACACTATAATACACTCTGTCCCATTCAAGTAAATAAACTTTTTAACCCAGCAGCTTTGGGTGCCCTTCCCCTCTTTGATAGTGGTGTATCAATATTATGAATTGGGTTTGGAGCAATGTCGTTATTACTGGTATGCGCTGTTTATAATAACACACAATTCTGTCCATGAATCTCCTTATATGACTTGTTTTGGATACCAATACATAGAAATCATGCTATTATATATAGAGACATATCACATTATGCAGGGGCACTCTGGACTGCAAAAACTGGTGGCTGAGAGAGGAGGTATGAACAACATTAGTTTTGGGTTTCAAAGATCAGCCTTCTAAAATGGGTCCTGGTGTTGTGCCTCCAATGTCTCCGGAGTAACAATTATTTTTGAGCCCTGAGTTTGTCCTTCAGGCTGGAGTGTGATCTTACGAGACGTTACGCCGCGGGACAGACACACATGGCTTTAGGAGTGAATAAGACCAGGAAGTATGGCTCTCGGTCTGTTTAAACAATGACAGTAGTAATAGTAAGTAGTAGTAGTAGTAGTAAGTAGTAAACTTATTTGACTTCTGGTTTACTATGGCGACTCCAAGGTCTTTTTTTGAAATTCCTTATGCAGTTGCCTTGTGATTAAAACTACTAATTGATTAATAACTTACAAGTTAATTACAGCCCCCCAGGAACTACACATAGGTTACCATTATGTGTTAAAGTAGCAATATGTAACATTTTCATGTCAACTCATCATTAAATGGCCCTAATCTGTCAAAACGCATTAACAAAACATACTCTTTTCAAAACTTCTTTAACTGATAACAGTAGTTCAGCAGAGATATCAGAATTTCAAAATTAGTTATACAGCCCCTAAATCTTGTTTTTGTTATCATTTCGATGTCCCGCCCTCCAACGTTTTACCAATCAGAAAGGCTGTGATTCGGGTTACCAGAACTCACCGCATCGAGCTAATCTCACTGGTAAAGTAACATGTGGCCGTAGAACTAAAAAGGGTTTCATTATGATTCTCAAATAATTAACGACAGAACAAGGAATAAAAAAATGGTGTTGGTTACAGATTTGTTCTTGACAAAACTCTTCAGATAATTCAGATATTATGGTCCCAGCTGGATTCGTCTGCATATCTGGCAACCTGAGTCAGGGAGAGGGCAATACCACTTTTAGGCCAGATTTTTACATACTGCTCCTTTAAGTTATTTTTCAAGTATATACTAACTTTTTTAGGCATGCTTCCATTAGTATCCTCATACATTGTCAGCTATAATATGTAATAGCTTGTGTCCATTCAAATCAATTTGTTTTTGTCGAGCCCTTAATCACAACAGCAGTCGTTTCGGAAAGGACTTTACAAAGAAGTCGATTCTTCAACACAGATCAGAGAACAAAGGAAATACAGTTCAAACACATAAGAGCCATTGGTCCATAGGGAACGGTATGACCAATGTCCATAAAGGTTCATAAATGACCTTAAATGTTCCGGATCATCACTGTCCTCAGACCCTCTTAAGTTCTATACTCAATATTGAACGTCTGTAATGTGACAGTTCGGTTCGCCAATGACTTATTAATATCAAAAACAACAAATCTTTCACTAATGTGTTAACTTCGTCAAATAGAACAGACTGGATGATTCACGTCCTTTTATTTGAAAGTTAATTTATTCCATCTTCTCATCAAAATGTAATGCATAATGGCCTTTTATTACATCACCCGTACGCCTTTATTCAGTTGGTGACCTCCAGATCTTTTGCAAGGGCACCACTGCTTAAAGTGCCCATGGATCAAAACATAAACGATTCACAATTGGAATGGATTTAATCATTGCTATGACTATTCCTTGGTACATCGGTAAAGAGGAGAAAAATATATTAATCATTTAAATGGAAACAGTGGAAAAACATAATACAATCCATCTAAACTAGTTCCTCACTCTCATAACAAAAGAGTATAGTCCTGTCACTAGTTTCCTCATTAATCTGTGTTTTACTTTTGTCTAGATCTGATTTTTGACACAGAAATTTTTTTTACACAGCCAATCACCTCTCAGTCCAAAGAGTAAGATAGTGTTTGCATAATATGTTTTCTAAGAAGATGAAGACCTCTTATGTACATTCTGTTTTTTGCACATTTCACTTTCACTACTGACTCTTTCTGATTGGCAAAGTACATGTATTGATAATAATAAAAAGGTAGGTTCCCCAGCCTTCATAAATATTACTTTTTCTCCCAAAAAGATGCGATTGGCTTGAATTCCAAGTAATATTTTGGAGGGATTGTTATAAATTATGCAATAGTAAGTAAGTAAGTAATGTTTATTTATATAGCGCATTTTACAGAGCAATGTCACCCAAAGCGCTTTACAATGTCCAGAGTTCAGATATTTTTCCAAAACGCAAACCAACACCGTTCGCTCACTGTGAAGGTTCGTTTAAAAATGATGGGAATAATGATGGCTCAGACGGGAAAATAAATTGTGGTGGTTTTATTTACACACCAAAACAGTGAACAGTGAAACATATTTACAGTGCAGGGAAAAAACAACAGACTCACAAGAAAAGACAGGACTTACAGCCAGCTCGGTTTGGGTTCAATTTCAGTACAGCTCACTCCAGCTCACTCACAGACTGACAGAACCTCAGGAGTGAGCACGCACTCTTTTTAACTGGTTAGCCCCGCCCCTGGGCCAACCCATTATAAATTAACAGGGGTTTTTCTTCTAAACAGAAAAACAAAGAAATCCCACACATAGTTCCCTCCCTGTTCCTCAGTGTGAACATGCCTCTCAATTGCCCCATATAGCAATGCACAAACAATAGAAGACACACATTTTAATACTTTTAAGAATTAGAGTCCTCTGGCCCGTCACATGCGCGCGCCCTGCGCTATATATGGTGCAACCAGGAAGTGCCTCGGTTTGGCCAGTGGACCGAGACAAGCAGCAGGTGAGTTGTGTATGGGGGAAGATGAGATGTGTGTGTAGGCAGCAAGTGTGCACCCTTGTGCGCTACAGGGATAGTATTGGCAGGGGAAGAGTTTGTGTTGATGCAGGGCCGTGCGGTTACTAGCGCGGACCTGCCGGCATGCCGCGCCACTTGCACGCACAGACGCGCTCCTCTCTTCAGCGCAGGTAGAGAGCAGCACACAGTTTATGACGGAGCAGTCACTGGCGCTCCGTCACATTATCCCCCTCCTCCTCGAGGTTGACGATGTGCGGCAACCTGGACAGGTAGTCTGCCACGACATTAGTCTTCCCAGCTCGATGGCGGATCTGGAACTGGAACGGCTGGAGGGAGAGGTACCAGCGGGTGAGACGACTGTTATGGTCCTTCATGGAATTCATCCAAGTCAGCGCCCGGTGGTCCGTCTCGAGGTCGAACTCTCTTCCCAGCAGGTAGTACCGCAGGCTCTCCAGAGCCCACTTGATGGCCAGGCCCTCCTTCTCCACGGTAGAGTACCTGGTCTCTCGCGGCAGCAGCTTCCGGCTCAGGTACCGTACCGGACGTTCCTCTCCAGGGTCCCCTTGAGCCAGGACCGCTCCTAGTCCCACGGCAGAAGCGTCAGTCTGGACCAGGAACCGCTGTTCGAAGTCGGGGCTCCGCAGCACCGGCGATGAGCAGAGGTAGGACTTGAGGGCCTGGAAGGCTGTCTCGCAGTCCTCGTTCCAGACGACCGGGTTCCTCTGGTCCTTCATCGTCAACGCGGTCAGTGGAGCGGTGATGGTGGCGAACTGTGGGACGAACCGACGATACCAGCCGGCCAAGCCCAAGAAGGACCTCACCTCCTTCTTTGTGCGAGGGCGTGGACAGCTGCGGATGGCCTCTACTTTGTCCATCTGTGGTCGGACTTCTCCTTGCCCCAGCCGGTAGCCGAGATACTTAGCTTCTTCTTTGGCCCACTGACACTTTGACGGGTTAAGTGTCAGTCCCGCCCGCTCTATCTGGCCGAGGACTCTCTCCAGATGATGCAGGTGCTGTTCCCAGGTGTCGCTGAAGATGACCACGTCGTCCAGGTACGCAGCACTGCAGTCCTCACAGCCCCTGAGCACACGGTCCATCAGTCTCTGGAATGTGGCGGGTGCTCCATGGAGACCGAATGGCATCATGGTGAACTGGAAGAGGCCAGCAGGGGTCTGGAACGCCGTGTAGGAACGACTGGACGCTTCTAGTGGCACCTGCCAGTAACCTTTGCAGAGGTCGAGGGTCGTGATGAACCGGGCCCGGCCAATCTTTTCCAGGAGGTTGTCTATCCGGGGCATCGGGTAGGCGTCGAACTCTGACATGGCGTTGAGCTTCCGGAAGTCGATGCAGATGCGGAGCGACCCGTCTTTCTTCACGACGATGACCACCGGACTACACCACTCTGCCTGGGATGGCTCGATCACACCGAGGCGCTGCATATCTTCAACCTCCGTCAACAGCTGGGCGACAAGATGTTGGGGAACCTGATAAGACCTCTGGCGAACTGGGCCTTTGTCTTTCAGCCGGATGACGTGCTCGACAAGGGTAGTCCTTCCTGGACTGGCAGCGAAGAGCTTGGAGACCCCCTGGAAAACCTGACACAGCTGGGTCGACTGGGTGGCGGTGAGATGACCCAGAGCTGGTTCAGCAGGCCGCTGGAGGTCGGAAAGCGTAGACTCTTCCTCCCCGTCACTGTCTACCTCGGTCACCAGCAGGGACGCCATGGAAGCTGGAACTGCCGCCTCTTTCCACTCCTTCAGCAGATTGACGTGGTAGGTCTGCTTCGCTTTCCTCTTCTCTGGGTGGTGGATCTCGTAGGTCACAGGGCCCATCTTCCTGACCACAGAGTATGGCCCCTGCCACTTCGCCAGAAGCTTGTGGCTGGACGATGGCAGGAGTAGCAGGACCTTCTGACTGGGCTGGAACTCGCGATGTTGGGCCTGTTGGTCGTACCACGCCTTCTGGGACCGCTGGGCAGCGCGTAGGTTGACCTCCGCCTCCTCTCGATACTTGGCCAGCCGATCACGCATCTCCAACACAAACTGGACAATATGGCGATCGCTGGTGGTTGAGGCGGGAGCCTCCCAGGCCTTCAGTAGCAGGTCTAGCGGACCCTGGACATCCCATCCATAGAGCAGCTCGAACGGGGAGAAACCGGTGGATGCTTGGGGTGCCTCTCGGTAGGCGAAGAGCAGGTAGGGTAGCCACTGGTCCCAGTCCCGTCCGGTATCGGCCACGAATTTCTGCAGCATCCTCTTCAGCGTCTGGTTGAACCTCTCGACCAAACCGTCCGTCTGTGGGTGGTACGGGGTGGTCTTGATCGCAGAGATTCCCAGCTGGCGGTGGAAGAGCTGCATCAGGCGGGAGGTGAAGTTGGTCCCCTGGTCCGTCACAATCTCGTCTGGGACACCAACCTTGGAAAACAACTGAACAAGACACCGCAGCACAGCAGGGGCAGTAACGGTGCGCAAGGGGAACGCCTCGGGGAACCTTGTGGCATAATCGCAGAGGACCAGGATGTACTGGTGGCCTCCACTGCTCCGAACTAAGGGCCCTACAATGTCCATTGCTATGCGGCGAAATGGGGTGGAAATGACAGGCATAGGTTGGAGGTACGCACGGTCAGATTGGCGAACAAAACTAGTTTTCTGGCAGACAGGACAGAATTTACAGTAGTTTTGAACATCTGTATACATAGACGGCCAATAAAACCTTGAAGCTATGCGTAAATGGGTTTTGTTGCGGCCCGCTCTTTGCACTGCCCCAATGTCCGCCGGAACTTCCCACAAAAAGTCCTGACAGTTTGGCTCTGCCCGCTTTAGCCCTTTCTCGAAGCGCCGCTGCTTGCGACACTTTCTTGGCCCCTTTGTTCCCCCTTCAAATAAACTAGAGTCCAATGTGGAAAATGGCTCAAGTTCAGGCTCTGGCACTCTCTGAACTGGGACTGGCTTACCCCCCGCTTTAGCCTGTGAACGAGTAGTTACCAGTCCAGAAAACCCCCTTCCACAGTCACTGTCCTTGGGTCCCTCTTCCCGCAGTATGTCCAACAGCACAGGTATATCCCAACCCAAAATAGCTGCTACAGGTAACCCTTCTACCACCCCCACAGTCAATAAATAGGGCTGCTCATTGACCACTAGTGTGAGTTCTGCTGTTGGGTAAGAATGTCTGTCACCGTGTACACAGAAAATGTCCTCCTTTCTGCTATAATCCACCTGGCCCGTTGGCACTAAATCCCTCCGAACCAGTGTCATATAGCTCCCAGAGTCAATCAGGGCAGTCACAGGATCTCCATTAATAGAGACTTCTTTGAAGCGCTGACGCCTGCCTACAGCACTTAAGTCCTCTGCACGGGGTGTGTAACATGCGCCAGTCAATTTAGTTTTTCTTATTGGGCATACAGAGGCTTTGTGCCCCAACTGCTGGCAATAAAAACACACAAAGTCCTTACCGGGACCGCGCTGGCTGGCTGCATGGTTGGAGTCTGGAGACTGCTGTGTGTGGACTCTGGCAGAGCTGGTCTGTGCTGGAGTCTGACGTCCGGGACCACCTTGGTAAGGCGCCGGGCCTCCTCTCCGAGCGTTGAGGTACTGCTGTGCTAGTTTAGCCGCCGCTAGGCCCTCTGTCGGCTCGTGCTCCTTCACCCAGGTGCGGATATCTGCAGGGAAAACACGCAGAAGCTGCTCCAGGATGATCTGCTCTCCGATCTGCTCCTTTGTGTGCTGCTCCGGGCGGATCCATCGGCGGTAGAGCCCCTTGAGGCGGTGGTACGTCTCCGCAGGGTTCTCTCCAGCAGAAATTGTCACCGTCCGGAACTTCTGTCTGTAGGTCTCTGGGGATATGTCAAATTTTGTGAGCAAAGCGTCCTTAAGATCCGAATATGTGTGAGCCCGCTCCTCGTCCATAGCGGTGTACGCTTCGAGTGCCTTCCCAGAGAGTAGTGGCACCAAACGACACGCCCACTCACACTCTGGCCAACCCCAGGTTTTGGCAATCCTCTCGAACCGGAGGAGGTAATTTTCAATGTCCTCCCCGGCCAGGTACTGGGGAATCTTTGGGTCCCCGGCGGGTCGACTTTCCGGTCGGGACAGGACCCTCTCGGATCCCAAACTGGGCCTCTGCGGTTCGGCGGAACTGCGGCGTCTGCGGGGTGCTGGAGTAGGCAGATCCAGTCTCATACTCGTTTCTGTGCCCTCTGATGGCGACCTGGTACAGTCTGGTACTGGAAACGAGTCCCTCAGTCCCCTGAGCTCCGCCAGGAACCGGTCTTCGCGCCGCTCCTGTCCCTCCATGAAAGACCGCATCATGGCGAGCATCTCCTGCGCGCTGGCTTCTCCCGGTCTTGGCTGTTTAAGGAGAGGAGCAGTAGCGCCCCCTGCGTCTTCCTCGTCTGTGACCCAGGCTGGGTCATCCTGCACTGTTTCCAGCTTCCCTGAGCGCAGTCCTGTGCGCTTAGCAAAAGTCTTCATACGCCGACTAGCCATCCCACTTCTGACACCAAATGTGAAGGTTCGTTTAAAAATGATGGGAATAATGATGGCTCAGACGGGAAAATAAATTGTGGTGGTTTTATTTACACACCAAAACAGTGAACAGTGAAACATATTTACAGTGCAGGGAAAAAACAACAGACTCACAAGAAAAGACAGGACTTACAGCCAGCTCAGTTTGGGTTCAATTTCAGTACAGCTCACTCCAGCTCACTCACAGACTGACAGAACCTCAGGAGTGAGCACGCACTCTTTTTAACTGGTTAGCCCCGCCCCTGGGCCAACCCATTATAAATTAACAGGGGTTTTTCTTCTAAACAGAAAAACAAAGAAATCCCACACATAGTTCCCTCCCTGTTCCTCAGTGTGAACATGCCTCTCAATTGCCCCATATAGCAATGCACAAACAATAGAAGACACACATTTTAATACTTTTAAGAATTAGAGTCCTCTGGCCCGTCACATGCGCGCGCCCTGCGCTATATATGGTGCGACCAGGAAGTGCCTCGGTTTGGCCAGTGGACCGAGACAAGCAGCAGGTGAGTTGTGTATGGGGGAAGATGAGATGTGTGTGTAGGCAGCAAGTGTGCACCCTTGTGCGCTACAGGGATAGTATTGGCAGGGGAAGAGTTTGTGTTGATGCAGGGCCGTGCGGTTACTAGCGCGGACCTGCCGGCATGCCGCGCCACACGCACGCTCAGACGCGCTCCTCTCTTCAGCGCAGGGAGAGAGCAGCACACAGTTTATGACGGAGCAGTCACTGGCGCTCCGTCACACTCACTCATTACATTCAGACCTCTTGTACATGTTTTAGAGGTAGGGGAAACCGGAGCACCCGGAGGAAACCTACACAGACACGGGGAGAACATGCAAACTCCACACAGAAAGGCCTGGAAGAGGAATCGAAATTCATGACCTTCTCCATCCATCGATCCATCTTCTTCCCCTTAATCCATTTCTGGGTCAGAGCTGCACCCAGTCCACAAAGCACCTGCCCCTCACTGATCCTCCTGCAGGTGGTGAGTCCACAGGAGCTGAGATCTTTCAGCGGGGGCTTCAGGCAAAGTGGGGTTAAGTGTCTTGTCCAAGGACACAACGACAGCAGTCATCAGTGGGAGTCGTGAAGTAGGTCTCATGGTGGCCTCGAACCCACGACCTTCAGGCTCAAAGGCCGATGCTCTACCACCTGAGCCACTGTCGACCCAGGACCTTCTTGTTGTGAAAAACAAGCTCTAACCGCTCAATAGTGTCTCTCCTTCAAGTCAACATGTAAGACATACGAGAGGAACCATAGACAGTCATTTGCAGGGATATATCACTTTGACCAAAAATGACATTGCCAATTATCACTAATACTCCCGACAAATACAGTCATCCCATACGCCAACCGAACTCGCCAACCTCTGTCTCCCCCCCTGTATTCAGCTCAGAGACCCCGTGCTCTTCATGCCACTTACCATCTTAATACCCCTTTTCAATTCCACAAAAGTTTCCGTCAAAATACACACACAAAAACGCACAGATTCATTTTATCTGTGGCCGCGCAGCATGTGGCGAGAGTTGGCGAGCTCCGAGCTGTCCGCTGCCTGCTGCCTGCTGCCTCCCATCCACCAGAAAGAGAAGGGAGATTCGTATCAGCCGTGATGGGAGGGAATCGTTTTGCCATAAGAAGCTGCTTAGAAGGAGTTAGAGCTGCTTAGGAAGTTGTCATTAATGGTCCTGGCTGAGGCAGGAAGGAAGTTCATTAATCATTTTTAACAAGGGTTTTGCAAAGAGAGGAGAGAGAAAGAGAGATAAAGAGTACCAGAGAGAGAGAGACCAGAGAGAGAGGGACCATAGAGAGAGAGACCAGAGAGAGGGACCATACAGAGAGAGAGAGACCAGAGAGAGAGAGAGAGACCATTAAGAGAGAGACCAGAGAGAGAGAGAGAGAAAGGAAATATTGTTTTAATAATGGTTCGGTTGCCTTGACCAGGACTATTTTTTTTTTTTTTAGATAATTGACAATACATAATGGGAAGGATTCATTTATTTTGAGCTTATAAACCAGAGTGCAATTTACAGTATATAAATGGTTTATACGCAAGGCAACTAAAAGTAACAAGAAAAGAAACATTATAATCACACAAAGCATTCAAATTATACATAATCACAGTACATGACAAAGAGCAAAAATATAATCCTTCAGTTGTACGCACAGCTAGACAGAACTGTTTTTAGCTTGAATTTGAACATTGTCAGGGTTGAAGCCTGTCTCAAATTTTCAGGAAGACTGTCCATGTGCTTCTCAAAGTCCCAGTGAGAGACCAGTCCCTGTGCTCCTCAGAGTCCAAGTTGGTTCAGTCCAAGTAACGCTAACATATAACTTAACATCACATATGTACTTGTACCTAAGTAGGGCTTCTTTATGTCTACATTATACAAACCTCCCGTAAAAGTCTAGAATGGAGAAGGACTCACCCATTGACCTAAATTCAACGTATCCAGTTGCAAAGATTGAGTTTACTTCAAGTACCTTACATGGCTCCAAGCTATTAGCGAGAGTTCTTCATGAGTGGCTTTTTCAAATGGGCACTTAATTTTCTAAATATTTTTTCCAATTCTTTTCAAAAAAGAACAAACCAAAATCTGTTGCACGCTGTCTCAAATGGATTTTGGATTTATTGCGTTAATCGTGAGTAAAATGGTTGGCGGTTCAAATCCTGCTCATGACATAGACGTCATTGGTTGAGTTGGCAGGTGTGAATACCAGCTCCCATTGGTGAATTCTGCCGTGTGTCCTTGGGCAAGACATTTCAATCATGTAATGTCTGCACACAGCTGTATGAATGTGTGTGTGAAGGGGCAATTGGTTTCTTGAGTGCCTTGAAAAACTCCTAAAGCCATGCGACCATAAACTATTAATTTAATTATGTTTCATCATTTTTCTCTTTAATTGTTTTGGTTGTAACTTGCAATCTTTGTAGTTTTCATCTTTTCTCATATTCACAATTCTACATTGCTTCATTTTTGTGTTTAAACCTTTTTCCGGGAATCTTTATTTTCTTTATAATAATCTTTATAATCTTTATTTTTGATGCAAATTTGTGGCCATACCTGTATGTGAACGCCAGATCTCGTCAGACCTCTGAAGCTGTGCAGGGCAGCGCCTGCTTAGTACTGTGATGGGAGACCTCTGAGAACACCTAGTGCCACAGTGGGGCGACTTTAAAGTGGCTAACTGCCATTGTGTCCTTAGGCAAGACACTTCACCCACATTGCCGATAAGGAGTCTGGTGTTTGTGTGTGGATGGCTGGTGGTGCACAAAGGGACCAATGACACATACTGTTTTCCTCACTTCTGTCAGTGTTCCCTAGGGCAGCTGTGGCTACAGTAATAGTTTATCACCATGTATGTATGTGTATGGAGTGAAAGAATAAGGACATGTGAAGCATCTTTGAGTGTCCTGAAAAGCACTGTATAATCACTCTTTTTTTCACAAACCAAGTTCACACAAAGCTCTCTACAGCACAGAGCCATTCCTGGTCTGACTTTACTCGGACTTATGTTATGCGTGCTGAAGCCTGTATTTGGTGATTTGTGCTTGTATACGTGTGAAAACAGGTGGGACAGACTGTAGACTCCACACAGCTCTGAACGTTCCCATAGGCTGCAGCAGAACAGCTACAGTATTATTGCCTGAAACCGGAGCTGACTGAAGGCTGCTCCGCGGATAAGACCCACAGGGTGAAGGGAGGTGGGCTTAACATCTTTGCCGCTCCGCTATAGTGTAAAAAAAAATAAAAAAATAAAGGGAAAGTAATGCTTAGCAGAAGTGCAATCAGTTCAATTCATCATAATCAAAACAAATGTGCATGCAATTGCACAATTACAATACATACAAAACAGTAGCACAGCTTGTTTAGGCTTGTGTGACATTCTCACAAAAGTCAATTTAAAGCTGGGGTACCTGACTTTCAACCCCCCCAAACATTTGAAGAGATCATATTTTCAAACACAATATGTAAATGCGACAGTAGCTCTTACAGTGTGAATTGTTGATTGAACTGGTCTAATCCTTACATAACACTGCAGGCTTTTAGGAAACTGCAGAGGAGATAAGTGTGTTTGTGGAAGGAAGTGAGTGTGTTTGGAGGGGACGGGGGGTGTGAGGTGGTGGGGTTATCTGGGGGTGACATCAGGGGCCTTGTCTTCACCTCCGCGGGCTGTGAAGTGTCGCCTGCTGTCAGTGGGAGATGGACGCATGCTGGGGGGTCAGCGGGGTCTGGACAGGTCACTCACTCAAGGCAAGACTGAGACCAGAGACCAATGAGAACCCTTCAGCGTGAGTCAAGAGCCATCGTTGTCCTTTTGGTAGTTTCGTTTATGTTTTAACAAGCCTTGTTGGGCGTAGCTGTGTGATTGAAATGATCTTTGGAGGACACACATGGAACCTGTATTCTGGCTTCATAGAGCTTAAGTCTTCATAAACCACCAAAACTACAAATAGCCACGGTGCGAGTTGCGTCGAGATATGAGAAGAGGGATATTCTCACTGAACAAAAACCTTGGGTCACCTTTTCCTTACACGCTGAGCGACCCAGCCTCGATGTTTCAGAACAACTTGTCATTAATTAGTGCTGTAGTTTTTGTTCAATAAAAAGAATAAGTAAGAACAAGTTTGGAAGGTATGAGAAAAATGACAAAGTCTGAGATCGTGTTGCAGACAGAAGACGTTTTATTGTCGATGGAAAAGACAAGACACACGCAAGGATTTTACAGAATGCATGTGATTTTCAAGCATGGTGGAATCGAAAACATTCCAATCAGCCCCTGCCACAGCGCTAGTAACTTCAGTGGCCTTCAGATATCCAAATCATGAAGTAGAAAATCAATCACTGTCGTTGTTAGAGTGACAAGCTTAAGTTTAACCACAATCGCTTCAAAAACGTTCTAAGAAATCCAACAACATAATTCAAAAAGGAGCAAGTTTTACCCCTTTTTACTATTTCTTTCTGTAATTCACTGCATTCACTTGATCAATGGTTTTGGCTTGATTACAATTGACACACATTGCCATAAATCCATTCAATCCTAATTTAAAGAACTTTATGTATCCCTGAGGAACTCCATTAACAGACAGAGCACCAGTGGGGGTACATAAAAACACAGATCTAAATATAGAGAGAGTAAAAGAGCTGAAATGCAATATGACATACACAAAACAGGTCTCCAAATCAGATGTTTAAAAGGCGAATTGAGGTGAGGAGGAAGCTGGATGTGTCATCTTTAAACATGCCAATGATGTTCGAGGATATTGCTGTCATTACCATTTCCTCTTCCATGTTTTGTTACTTTATCATTTTGTATGGATGTAAGCCTTATATAGTGTAGTGTATTAAAAAACTGAGTTGTGAGTGGCCCATTCTACCCCCAGACTGGGTCGCAAGGCGGCCCATTTAACCCGTCTGGAGACAATACCTTTTTTTTAATCAAGTGTGTTCGGAGCAAAGCAATCTTCCAAATATTGTGGTAATTTGGAAAGCAATGAAGCCAAACTGTTTTATAGAATGTTGCTTACATATGGGTAAGGTGAAGAAGATTTTAAAAATAGACACAAATCACAGGACTTTGCATAATGAGAGAGTAATAAGCGGTGTATAAAGAGAAAATCTCTAAGCATCAAAGTTTGGGCTGTTTGTATAGTATACATCTTCCAAAAGTTATGTTTGAAATTCCACTTTCCACTCTTTGTGATTCCTTGTGGTCCTGGGTACACTGCAATCTGACTTTAGAAGACTGATTTTGGAAGTCAGAAGTTGGTTTTGACCTTCTAATTTGAACATGTTTTTCTCTTCCCTGCGGTGGAAAGCTGAGTTGAGGGTTCAAACAACATTCCTACTATTCCCACTGTTCCTATGTCAGCATGCCATTTCGACACAGGAGAAAAGCAAAGGTCACCCGTCTGAAAACACTTACAAATTTAAGCTAACTGTGACAAGTAAAACTTAACCTCAATTTATTGTTGTATTCATTACGAAAATTCAGTCCATATCCATGCAGTGCATTGGGATATACTGTACGTCCTTTTGAAGAAAATGTAGCGCAGGTTTGTGCTGGCGTGTCATTTTAATTTAGATCGAGTTTTCGTGCAACAAGGACGAGAATTTGTTTCGGGACCAGATTGTGACCAATCACAGCGGACCACTGGGCCCCCACTTTCTTGAGAAAAGCCACAGGTCTCTTGTTAGCACAGACAGCTGAGGCTAACCTGAAGCTTCCAGTGTCTTTGTTACCGGTTACTGCTTACACAGCGAAACAGCCATCCAAAAGAAAGTCTCGTTCCTCCGCGCTTCCCGGTTCTATCATTCTATGGTCACGCCATCCACGTGCACGTGCAAATGTGCGATCCATATTGTGAGACGTGAGTTCCGTAAACACATAAGCACAGGCTGAGTGCGGGGAGGGGGAGCAGAAAGAGCGAGGCCAGCGCTCACATTCGAGTGAGTTAGTGCAGCTTTAAGTTAAATAATGATATTACAGTGCATTTGAAAGAAATTGTGACTATATTGACAATCCAATGAGTTTCACTGCAAAAGAGACATCTCATGGATTGAATATTGATTCCTGACATGCAATTTTGAATGTATTTAATGTACTTCCTGCCTAACAAAGCATAACTGTGTCATTGTCCATGAATACACAAACCAACATCAACTTTCTTCGAGCTGATCAAGTTTGTTTTACTTAGACGTTTTCCCAATTTCCCAAACGCTCCCAAAATAATTGTAATGAAGGCAAGCTCAACGCACCCCCCTCTGCGGAACAAAAGCCTTGGCATCTCTTGTAAACTATTAGTATTCATGCGCGGCGGTGGAGAGGAGAGGAGAGGCTGCCGGTCCCAGGAGTGAACGACGAGGAAGGAATAAAAAAATAAAAAAAGAATGGAAGAAATGAAAAGTGGAGACAACAGAGACCTTATGCTTAAGACAGGCTTAGCTCATAAAGACACTTCAAAAGCACCTCTCGTCTCTGCACAAGCCTCCTGTGGAACCCTTCACTTCAAGGGCACCTTTTTAGACAAACTTCGGAGTGTGCATGGGGAGAAAAGGAGAAACTGTGCAGTGGATTTCCATTATGCAGCAGTGGTAGAACAACAGCGGTACAACATGTCCCATAGCCAGGAATAGAGACCGCCAGGCTCAGCACACGGCCTGGCGATTATGCAGAGCTCAAAATGTACTTCTATGGCTGTGGTGGTAGGATTCAGCTGGAGTCATTCAGGTGTGAGGTGGATTAATATGGAGTGTATATAGCCTTAGTCCCGGATCTAGAGCCCGTCCGCCTGTGGGAGCGGATCCCTCTCTCAATGTGGACCTCCTCAAGGTTCCTCACCTTTTCTCACTGGGGGTTTCAGAGTTTTTTGTTAGAGTCTGACAAAAAGGATAATGGTGATGATCCAGGACACTCAACATTTAACAACATTAATGGATATTTACCAACATTTATGGGCATTGGTCATCTTCCCCTTATGGACCAATAGCTGTATGTGTTTTTATTGTTGCATTTCTTGTGTTTGAACTGTTTGATTCTCTGATCTGTGTTGGCAAATTCAACAGTTTTGTTAAGTCCTCCAAGATAACTTACTGTTGGGCTAGACAAGAATACATTGAATTGAATTGAATTATATTAAATTAGAGTACACAGCATGCTTTGGTGATCTATAGTTAAATCTACTCATTTAAGAAAACTTAAAAATGCAACTGGACCAGGCTGACTCTAAAGTGCCAAACTGTCGTCGTGTCCTTAGGCAAGACATTTCACCCACTTTGCCTAGAATGAATCTGGTGTGTGTGAATGGCTGGTGGTGGTTGGAGGGCTGATGGGACATAGCTGTTGCCCCAGGGCAGCTCTGGCTACAAAACTAGTTTATCACTATGGAGTGAAAGTGAAAGAATAATGCCATGTGACGCGACTTTGAGTGCTATATAAAAGCGCTATATAAAAACCAATTCAGTTTTTTATGGAAACCCAATTAATATAGAGTTCATTGGCTTCTTGTTCAGCGCTCGCCCAAAATATCATCTGAAAAAGCACATGATAGTTGAATACATCTTGCTACAGCATCTTCCTGGGGTTGTTTTTAGCCTCATCCGCACTAAATTGAGAATATTTGACAATATATATATAATATATTGATCGATAACGATCATAGAACGTACAAAGTTCTGAATATTGAAATCTGTTTTTATCCTTTCACTATTTGCTCGGGGCATTTCTCTGCGGATACCGTCTTGCAAACCCTTCGTTTTTGCTAACTGTATTTAACGCGCTCTCTTTGTGTATTGACCCAGCTCTAATACAGCGCCACCCATATCCGAGCGCTCTCTGTGATCCATTAATTTATCATGGCGCTGCGTTTGATTAGCAGCATGCTCCGGCAAGGGCCAGCGGGGGGGCTGAGGGCCTCCTAATCACTTCTATCAGCCGTGTGGAGAATGTGACACCCACAGGCAAATGCGGGACCCCTGCTGAGCCTTGTGCGTCCTTCACTGTACGTTATGTAAGCACATGAGAGCGCCACGCGTGTTCTGTGGGAGGGCCAATGTTGTTCTGTGCTCTGCAGAAGGGAAGAGCTGTAGTTCAAAGATCTTGTTTTGAAATAAAGTCTCAGTGACAGTTTGAACCACTGCAGAGTCTGGAGGATGTGTGTTCCTATATTGGGAGCTGAAGAACAAGTTTTCAGTTATAGCCAAATGAGGAGATACTGTGGTTCAATTCAATTAATTTCAACAACAACTGATAACAGAATCAAAACGTTCGAAAGCATGAAATGGAATAATAACAAACACATAGGAGCCATTGATCCAAAGGGAGCAGGATAACCACTGTCCATAAATGTGAATAAAGGTCCTTAGATGCCCCAGATCATCACTGTTCTTAGACTCTCCTGTATGGGCAAGAAATTGCCGTTATTGAGAGAGGGATCCGCTCCCATGGACTTCCAGGACTCAGGCTGTAGAATGGGCACTGAAGATGCGCCAAAAGGTGGGGAGTGGGGTGCAGCCCTCTGGTATATACTGTATAAGAAATATCACGTAATATCATATTAGAGCTGTTATGAATACTCATGATCCGGTTATATTCTGGATGTAGGACCCACAAAGCACAGTGTGTTGCTAGATTACATTAATAGCCATTTTATTTAGCCAAAAGAGACATTTCATTGTTATTGTATATGTATATTGTATAGGGTACCATGGTGA